AAAAATCAGCCAAGAACTTAAACTTATAAAGAATGAATTAAAATATGATTTACTTTAAAAATATATATATATTTTTTCCCCAATATTTTATTATCTGGTTGATTCTACTCAGACAAATCTATCCAGAAGAACTGAAGAATTTTCAGGCCGTTTGAACTAAAAGGGTGTATAATAGTTCTGTTCACCAAAAATTCATCCTCAGTTTTATGGCAAATTTGATTAATACTAACAATAAACTATCAGCTTTATGGTATTATAAACTACATCAGTACTGTTCATGATGGCTACTAAAACCCAACTCATCCCCACAGGTTTGCGGCAAACAGCAGGCCTTTATTCAAGGAGAAACTTTATAGCAGAGGAAGATGCTGATGTTGTGCACCTTATGCGAGAGGCTGGAGCAATCCCCCTCTGTGTCACAAATGTGTCAGAGCTCTGTATGTGGTGGGAGAGCTCCAACACTATTTATGGGAGGACCAACAACCCTTACCGTTCCTGCCGTATTGTAGGAGGTTCCTCTGGAGGCGAGGCAAGTGTAGAATGGTTTTACAGCTTTTTATCCTTTGTTTTTGTTAGGGGAATAGAAGTCTCAGATTTATGGAGGAGTTAGTAGTATCATGAAATGTATTATGTCTACGGATCTTTTAAGTCTGGAAGAAAAATGGAACTTCAAGATTTGGAATGGGCAATATTATCAAGGAACATCCAATTTTACAGCCAATTGGATGACTGAGAGATTGAAATTTGAAACAATATCAATAATGTGATAGACTGTAGTTCAGCAATATGGCATATAGTTCATTTTAGTATAATTTAGCTTTTTATGTTTTTAAATGGACTCGGGAAAGTTATAATTTATCTGAGCTTGGCTACTTCACAGACTTAGCTATGAAGAGAAACATTGTGGTGTCTTTCACTTTACATGTTACCTAGTTTTGATTGTGTAAAATAGTTTAGACACCATGATAGTACCTGACAATTTTAGGTGACTTTATGTTACTGGATGTTTTAGGAAATGTAAGGATTTTTGGATTTCAAATATTTATCTACATCTTTGGATTTCAACATTAAATGAAAAAGGTGCATAAGTGCATATAGGCTCCACTTGGGTATTGTCTACTTGCTTGTTATTTTGTTTAGGTGAAGATTCTGTGATATAGTTACATGAAAGGTGGAGTTGTTTGGATGATGATAGTTTAGAAAAAAATTTGATAGCTTTTGCAATGTAACAAATAGTTTTTATTTAGTATATGGTAGTATGTTATTCAAATATATGCCTGCAAACTTTTACCATATATATCAGGTAAAATAATTTAAGTATATGTAGGCAAATTAACATCTCATTAGAATTAAACTCTTTTTTGTTATTTCCTTCTGTCTGTTGGTGTCTTCAGATAGGTTTAGGGAGTGTAGCAAATGAATGAAAAAAGAAAATAAGATAAAATATGCAAAATTGCCATTTTTTGTTTTGTGCTTCACATTTCACATCATAATATCATTGCTAATTGTTCTTTTTATTATCAATATTTTTAGGGCTGTGTACAGTCTGCATGTGGATCACCCTTTGGTATTGGATCAGATATTGGAGGATCAATACGCATGCCTTCTTTCTTTAATGGCATATTTGGTCACAAACCCACATATGGTAAGTCTTGGGTTTTCTGATTTACAAGATCAATATCCTTTATTCATAACACCTTAAAGGTTTAGAATTTATAGAGTTGAGTACATCCTATTTCAGAATCTTTATAAATAAAGTATATTTTAGTTGTTCCAAATCTATCAAAAGTAAAACTAGGGATGTAGAAGATTTAAAGGATCCAAAAATAGATATCTCAAGCTAACCTGCCATACTCAGATATCATCTGTCCTTTCAGGCATAGTAAGTAATATAGGTCAGGAACCGGTTGCAACTGGGGAAGCTATGGAGTTCCTTGTGACGGGACCCATGTGTCGATATGTACAAGACTTGACACCTATGATGAAGGTTCTGGGAGCAAACAATTCTCACATGCTTACACTTGACCAGAAGGTTAGGACCAATATGCTTTTAGGTCTCTATAGAAAAAGAGGATATTTATTAACTTTTTCATGTGATTGCAGAAAGTGAATATGGCAGTGATCTTTGATATAGTGATATATTTTAATTGTAATGTTAAGGTCCTATTTGAATTATATCTTGATCATTATCGATAAAGCTTGGAGGCAAACTGAGTGAACAGTTTTATGAAACTACAGGTGGATATCAGCAAGCTCCGATATTTCTATGTGGAAGATGATGGTGGATCTCCACTTGTGACACCTGTTCACCCAGAACTTCGTGCAGCTCAAAAGAAAGTTATAATTCATCTTGAGAAAGCATATGGCGTTAAAGCTAAAAAGGTATTAAATGTTGCAGGAAGTGCTCCTAAGCTTTTGAATCTGTTTTTCTTTCTTTTCTTTCTTTCTTTCTTTTTTTCTTTCTCTTGTCTTTTGCACAAATTCTTCTACATAGAAACGATAAGTTTATTTACAAACTATGAAGATGAAGGCATTGTTATATTCCTTTCCCTTATTTTTTAGCAACATTTTATGAATATTACCATTAATTAGAATTATCCCCTTTTTTTACAGATTACCTTAAAAAAGCTCAAAGCGGCATTACCAATGTACTTTGCCAAGCTCGCCAGTGTAGAAGAAGCCCACACATTTTGTGAAGAACTAGCACTGAAGAAGGTAAGTGAATAGGTTTCTTATAAAAATATCTCCCCCACAAGGTGATATACTAAAAAGTTAATTGTAATGAATTATAGTATTTTGAACCCCAAAAGCACAAAGGAAATATTCAACTAAAGTCGGAAATATATTACAAAAAATTTTTATTCACTGCAACATAGACATAATTAGCATTTTTATGAATGCTATTAATTATAATTGAACTTTTGACAATCTCTTGCTGATGGATGAAAAATGTGGAAAAAGATGACTTTATTTATAGATGCCAATGTACAATTTACATCTTTGTCATTTCTGTAGGGTGATGGAAAACCAATGCTCTTTAGTTACTTGAGTTTTATTAACCCCTAGAATCCTGTTGCTTCATGGCACTCACATGGACCAAAGTACAGGCATTAAGCTTATGTAAGTGGCCACTCTGCCAGGTGTGCAGCGTGTAGGCTAGGTGCACGCGGACACTCATGTGCGGTGACAAGACTCTTTGCCTCCCCTTTGTATTTTGCATAAATGTCTTTAGCTTTTGATTTGCTCTATCCAGATGAACTGCTTTCCTTGCACAGGATCCATGTCATCTCTCTATGTAGTAAATAAATATATATATATATATATATATATATATATATATATATATATATATATATATATATATGTATATATAGATATAGATATATAATATATTGTATATATATATATATATAATATTAAATTTTCTGTAATACAACCTTCACTGCTAGTCACTGCAACCAGGAATAGGATGCTGAGCATGGAAATGGCATCCTCACTGGAGCCAGCACTCTTCCAGTCATGTCTTATGGAAATTTAATTCCACAAACGTCTATTTATGGGAATAATGTAGAAGCTCCTCTCTGAATGCCAGATAAGTCTAAATACCCTCCAAGAGGTTTGTGCACTTGTGGTAAGCCTTTTCCATCACCCTGGCCTTCGCCATCTTTACCTATGACATCATGTTCATGTGACCCACCCATCAAGCCAAATATTTTCACGACATGATGGTCACATCACTCAGATTTTGAAGGGGTTCAGAATACAACTTATATTAAATACTATATTGGATTTGTCAATTTGCATGAGATAAGACTCGTGACAGACACATACTTGCAGGGATGCATCAATGTTTGGACTGAGCTTCTGAAGTGGATGTTCCGGTTATCTCATCACACACTACCAGGCCTGCTGCTTGGTGTCCTGGAGAAGCTTAACAGTCAAAGCAAGAGGTCAGAAGATTACCCAAAGCTCCTCACCATGTGCACTGACTTGAAACAGGAGATAAAGGTATGGCTAGTGTTTTATCCTTATGTTAGTACTTAGACTTTGATTACTCTGCAGTTACATTTGACAGATTGAATAGTTATAGTTTTTAAGTTTCCAACTGGGTTTCTTCCTGTTATTTTTTCTAAAAAGATATTCTTATTCTTAACCAACTCAAGGTTAATAAATTTATCCAAATGATTATTTAGAGTCCATAATTCCTGTTTGATCCCTGCAGGAACTTTTGGGTGATGATGGTGTGCTCCTGTTTCCTAGTCATCCCACTCCAGCCCCTTATCACGGGCAGCCACTCTTCCGTGCCTTCAACTTCGTCTACACAGCAATAATAAATGTTCTGCTGTTCCCATCCACCCAGTGTCCTTTAGGCTTAGGGTCAGAGGGCCTTCCTCTTGGCATTCAGGTAAGGCGCGGCCTTTTTTATTACTTCTAGTATTGTTTTAGTTATTTTGATATAAATACTTTCTTCCTCTCTGTTTCATGGAAAAAAATACTTATGGTTAAAAATGCTTTTTTACTTATTAGCAATCTCTTTTGAGCATATCTTACAATATAATTATTATGTTATAGGATACCTTGTTTAGAAGTTCATTTAATTTCAAATGATGCTTTGTAGTTGAAAATGGTTGAGGAACTTATCAAAGCTAAATGTAACCATTACTTACATGAATGATCTTAAAATTTCCTATTTATGAAAAAAGTTTTTCAAGAAATAACAGGCTGTCATCTGTAACTTTTCAATTGGCATCACTTATCTTATATAAATCGTTCTTATCCTTTCAGGTAGTCGGTAATCACTACAAAGATCACCTGACTCTTGCAGTTGCAGGAGAACTAGAGAAAGCTTTTGGGGGCTGGGTTTGCCCATCTGAAGTACGCTAATTCCAGCAAGAGAAGCCATTTCAAGAAAGTCATGTTTCCTGTTTTATATGAAGGACTCTTGGAAGGAGATGATTTTTTTTTGTGGCAAAGTTCAAATATTAAACTTTTGCATTTTGTGTTAGAATTTTTTTTTTCTCTGAGTTTAACATATAACACTGCCATGCATGAGATGGACATTTCTGCTGTATGATAACTTTATTAGCACAATACCTCACTTCAGTTTCTGATAGTAGGTTCCAGCATGTTACCTGCATTTTATTCCATCTGTGTCCAGGATGGTTTTTCAGTGATGCGCATTGCTCTGAGAGTAGTACTTTTTTTCTTTCTCTCTTCACTTTTTTTCATTTATATTTATCTTATTTATTATCCCTTTTAGACATGAATTGTTGTCTTTCACGGAAGATCTCTTTATTAAGAGGAAATGAGAGTATTTGATATGGTATACACTACTTAAAGTTTTTAAATCATTGCTCAGTCATTTAATGATTTTTATATTTTACTAAATCTAAAATTAATCCAGAAGATAATATTCAGCACTGATTTCTTCATTTTAGGCCCCATATACTCCATGGAAGGATTGCCATTACCTATATTTGCCGTACTAAGTGCAAAATCTTTGCACTTTGTTTTCATCCTTTGATCTTAGATGGGTTACTTACTTCTTTCTTCAGAGTCTGGTGCAAGGAATATGCCTTTTGCATTAATAACTAGTTGCTGACTTCAGACTTTATTTGAGTAAGTCTCTATCCCAACATCATATCAGACTTGTTTAAGTACCATGATCATAATTTTTAGGGCATTAACATTAGTGCTTCTTGACAAATGCAATAGTGAAAGAAGCTGCAACAATTTTTTTCAATGGATGATCAGGCAGCAAAATTAAGATAGTTCTATTAATTGCATTTGTATAGAGAGAAATTCTGAAACGTTTGATTTCAGATGAAAACTTTGGTAAATGTGCTGAAAGATAGAAGTAAAAATAAGATGATACAATACATACAGTATCCACTTCAGTTCCTATTGCAATTTTTTACTGTTACATTGCTTCTTTATTCTTCCCTAAACCATGTGAAAATGTTTGAGATGACTAAAGTTCCCAGTGAGTAGTCACAATGAGATAATTGTTTCTACATATTATTAACTCAGAGACTTAACCATCTGCAGATAGTGTCCTTTAGAAGCAAAGATATGGCTTGCATACTAGCTGTTTGTGGGTTGACTTCTGTGACAAGCCCATATCCTGTTGTTCCTAATGCCTGTGTCGTAGTTATCTTTTCATTCATCAGTGTATGCACAGCCTGTAATGCCTGTAAATTTTCATTTATTTCTACTGTAGAAATATTTCCTCGTTGTTTCAAAAAAATTCACTTTTGTCATTATCACTTTACTACTTGTTGTTTTTTGAGAAACAAATTTCATACTTTTTCTAGCCAGGATACTTTAAGCTTTATAAATGATAATAGAATGTTAATTGTTGTTAACCATATTTATTTTCTGCAAAACACAAGAAAATAGGAATAAGCTTTAGGTAAACCAAAATACACTAGAAGTTGTCTTGATGTTATAGATTTTTGTTGTAGTTTTCCCAAAGATGCTGTTAATCAATTAGATATTCAGATATATTAGTTATTATATATTTTCTAGTGCTGTCATTGTGTTTTATATTTATTTGATTTTGTAATGTGATTTCTCACTATATTCACTACTCATGGTAACTTGATATTTTTGTATCCATTAGAATTTACTAAGCACATTCATGCTATTACTGTTAAATGCAATATGCTATGGTATTGTAGGTGAGCAGTTGCATAGAAGGTTCTCTTTAAAGGTTATGTACTCTTCATTAAAATAGGGGAAAACATTCCAAACTGGACCTAAATGATTATTGAACACATAATGCCCAAAATTCTGTTTTAAGTGCCTTAATATTAAGAAAATAATCTTCTTGACCAGAATTGATTTCTCTACTTAAGATCTCTAACCCAGGTTGATTTGGTGCTTTAGAGAAAAGACTCCCCTTTGTATATCTGGACTCTATTTGACCATTTGTAATCTTCCCTAAAGGTACTAAAATCAGTGTGTAGTTGTTCTAAAGTTTTATGGAAAAATATGTGAAAAACTGAAATTACAAGTTTCCTTTCATACTGAAGCAGATGCATACTTTATATATATATATATATATATATATATATATATATATATATATATATATATTATATATATATATATATATATATATTATATATATATATATATATTATATATATATATATATATATGTATATATATATATATATATATATATATATATATATATATATATATATATATATATATATATATATATATATATATAGTTTTTAATTGTGGAAGCATTTTGGTCATATTTTAGATGTGTTGTTTAGAAGGAAAACAAGAGGCATTAAATATTTTGTAATTGGTATTTACTTTTTGTTTTTTCTTATACTTTGTGTCTGATGCTATTACTATTGTTGTTTTGTTTTGCAACAACAAAATGAATCCGAGAAAAAAAGTATTAATACAGTTAATAAACTGTATATTATATAATGAGTTTTTATTTTATCCTAACTTTTTTATTGATTTGTTTTTATCTAG